AGAGCATCAATACTGGAGTCATCTCTCCAGATCATTAGCCTGAACGTTTGAAAGGTGAGAGACACAAATGAGTAATAGATTGGGTTGATGTAGGCCGCTAGAGTACTAGATTTCATGTTTAATTCACCCACTTGCTCCTGTCCTGCACTTTGAATCTTGATACACAAGAGATGACATCTGAGCTGCCTTTCAATCCTGCAGTACTACTACGGTCTCAACTAAAGGGCCTCACTGGCAAGTACAGCTGTAGGTACACATGACTAGTTTTCCATGGCAAACACATCAGCTTTACAGCAAAGTTCAGCTTCAATCAACTTTTAAGCAGTGCCACTTACATTCTCGGATTCTGTAGTGATTTGCGAAAGTCCCCACACACTTTTTCTGACCGTCCCACCCTTACGGACCAAACCGTGGTGCTCGTTGTGGCTAAAAAGCTCCTCCATTCGCTTAGTGTCCAGCTCAAAGTTCTCGAGGTTGCGTTGGGCTGTCCACACGTTGCGCTTGCCCAACACGCTGTGCCTGGGGATGGCGTCCCAGTTGAAGTTGCGCATTTTGGAGCGCCGCTGGACAGTCCGGGTGAAGGGGTCCCCCATAGGTGAAGGAGGTGGGGGTGGTAGTGGCAGTGGCGGAGGGGGAGGAGGAGGAGGGGGAGGGCCCATGGGAGGGGGCTGTGCAATACTTAAGCAGGGTGAGGTCTCATTTTGAAAGCATCTAGAGGGGTCAGGAGGCAGAGGAGGTAGAGGTGCCATGGTTACAACTGGAGCTCCATCCATTGGAGGACAAGGAGTGGACAAATCTGGAGGGATCTGATAGAAATATCAGGAAAAAATATAAAAAGACAAAACAGTGAGAGGCAAATGATGTGCCATACTGACCCAGAATTCTAAATGAACATCGCACTTCTAAAAAAATAACTTTAGGCATCCAAGATTTCTACCATCAATAACATACTTATTTTACTGGATTACTGTTGGATACAACCAAATGTCGAGAATCATAAATAGCCAACATAAGAATTTCCAATGATAACACTTACACTGGAAGAACAAGTTGCTTATTTAAAAAAGCTGTGTGAGCAAACCACAAAGTCAGATAATACTTTACAAGACCAATTTGCACAGGAACTTCATCAGGCAGTCAAACAAACCATTTAATTAAGATTATCAAGCATAAAGGCAACTTTGCATATCACATGTACTTTGGTCTCTCTACTTTTAAACTCTATTGGCTGCTTAATTTTATTTCAACATTTAAAGTAATGATTTTGTCTTGGCTATCATTACATATAGCCTACAAATTGGGTCATTTTGTTTATTTACGTATAAATATTTATGTAATTTATAAACATTAATATAATTACTATCTTTTATATATGAATATTTTTATGAAATCGTTATTTTGCATAAAAATAGACTACGAAAGGACTTAGTAGCGACTGCTTTACTTACAGCAATTCCACATGTTTACAAAAGAGGCCGATCAAACAAATATAATGATAGACATCACTACATTATTCGAGCTCTGTCGTTTTGTGTTGTCTTTTGTGTACAAGGCAGTTATCAAACTCTGAAATGTGCAACTCTCAAACAAGGGAATAATTAAAAGCCAGTCAAACATCACAGATTATCGGAAAACTATGAGAAAAGCAACAGAAAGTGACAGAAAATTAAGAACTTTCTGGATGTACGTACCGGTAAATAAATAATATCAGGTTAGTGCTGATGAACGCTTAATCAACTGACGTCCATTGCTGGAGAAAATCAACAGACATTCAGCATGTCAAACGCCGTCGACTCCCAGCAGCACGAGCACTTTAATGGATGAGAGTGGCCACACCCCCTCACGCGCTACTCTCACCTTTGCTGTTTACTGTGTTTAGAATACATCTTGTACTTCAGAAAGAACATTCTACATAATTAAAGAAAAAAAAATAAACTAACTGGGCTACACACACTGGGTCATTGTGTTAAATTATTTACAACTGGTTACAGCTGGGTTAAAACAGGTCGCGCAAATACAGTTTGAGTTGCAACGGTCGTAGCTGATAGAAGTCGCATATTTATTACTGTCAAAGGTAAGTCATGTCGTTTGGCAGTGTATAAAACGGTATATATCTTTAAAAAATGTAGTTATATTGCCCTCTATCGGCTTTATTCAACAAGTGTAACATATACAAAGTACGAATTTGTTAATTGAATCCAGTCGGGATTCTGTTTTTTATTGTGTCGAAAGTTTTTTTCTCCTCAGAAACAGGTTTAAATGTTTTTGTTAGAAATAGTTTTGTATTTGAGGGAAAAGGTTGGTTATCTATTCAGTCACTGTTACATTTACATTCAACACAAATTGTGTGAAGGTTAACAATGTGTTTTATTAGCATTCATTTATTATCCAGTGGTGTAAAGATTTAATTAGATTACTAGAGCACTGGCCCTAAAACTTAAAAGACATCTGTAGTTCCATATTCAACATTTCCCTCTAGTGGTTAGCATTAATTTTGCATGGCCTGACTTCAGTTCCTATGTTGGAATTGTTAAATTTGAAAGACAAACAGGGTCAAAGTAAATCAAACAGCCAAACAGAACATCAGCAAAGTACAAATGACACAAAGACCATTTTTGCAAACTTCAAATTTTATCTGGTGGGTTCTTGTACGTTTGTTGGTCAAAGGTTTGGTCAAAGCCAGGAGCAAAGGCTAACACCATGGGTTTCCAGTTTCAAAATCTGTCTCAATTATCTTTACATATATACAATCACTCATACACTACAATACCACAAAGCAGCCTAAAATATCGATTGTATAAATATGTTAATATTTATAACCCTTTCATTCTGCTGTGCTCTAAAACTACTAATGGAGTACGCATTTCAATGCCAAACACTTCTGTTAACAGAAATCAAAATAATAATAGCAAGAATAATAATCCCAGAACAAACAAAAAAAGAAGACTTAATGGATGGATTTAATCTAAAAGAAATAGAAATCTACTGGGAAAATATATAAATGTAGAATTAGTGTTCAGGAGGTCTAAATTTAATATCCCATTGGTCTAGTACAAATGTCCATCACTTCATGAATCAGTTCAGTCTCTGGGGCTCAAGATGGAACCCTTTTCTCCAGCTCTGAAGATGAAAATAACACAAACTACCATCTCTGCAGCCAGACAAATGTGCCAGGACATAAAAAACTAAATACTTGGTATAAAAAGGTCTCTCTTCTAGGATAACCATGTGGTCCAAAACAAAATCAATTAAAAACAAAATCAATTTAGGCAATTTAATTTAAATGCAATAAAAAAAAAAGACATTGTACGATCTTCAATCTTTGACAATTGGCATTCAAACTAAATTTCAAGCATTCTGTAACATTCACAAGAAACCTTTGTTTTGTTTTGTTTTTCCTAAAAACATTTTGCTGCACTACTACCCATGTAGTGTTTTACTGATACATTGCACAGGATTGAATCACAATGCATGGAAATGTACAACTAATTTCATCAGACCTGCCATGCAGAAACACACAAGGGACAGCCAATATAGGCATACATGAAAATACAATTTCTAAAAACATCTTCAGTATTGCTTCATCTCAAGCTTAGAAAGATTTAGTGCAATGTTCAAAAGTACTGAACATTAGATCATAGTCGTTATTTCAGTCTTGCGTAATGAAATAAAAAATAAAAATAGGTTGGACAAACTGACAGTCTGCACTTTAACCCCATCATCACTGCATCAAGTCTGTTTTAAGCAAAAACATTTCCAAGTGTATTTTGAAAAAAAAAAAAATAATCTAATTTATAAAAAAAAAGGCTATTAATGAGCATTATGTAGATATTTTCAGTGAATGAAAACCCAGCAAGACTCATCTGATTATACCATCTGATCACAAATAAAAATGCATACAAAAAATATATATTCTGAAATGTTTATATTGTTAAATTATTACAAAATCAGTTTGATTTTGTACTATATTTTTGTGAAACTTGTGAGGGTTAATGGAATAATACATTAGCACTAATATGACAGATTTTTTTTTGACTGTGATATTAATGGGTATATAAATATTTCATTGGGGAAAATTGCCTTTTTATTAACCAAGGCAGATAAAGGCATTTAACATAGGGTGCATCAGAACCAATTGCAATTTGAAAGCACAATATTAGGGCTTTGCTTATGTTAACAGAACACAGGTCAATACATAAACTCTAGTGCACATTTTGGTGGATAAAGAGGCATATAACGTTGGGCCTCAAAAACTGACCCATGTTAAAACAATCAAATACAACTCATACATCATACACTTCCTTGATTAACTTATGATTATTAACTTAAAAATGAACATAATAAACCCACAAACATTCTACGGCATCATGCATTGGTACATAATATGACAATAAGCTATAATTGTCAAAATAAAACAAACTGCAAAAAAACAAACAAAAAAAACATTCCTCTCCCTTAGAGAAAACAATCATGCTTCATAAATTCAAAGCTGTAAATTAACAATATTGAGTAACGACAGTGATTTTAGATTCATGTTCCGGAACTTTGTTAAAACATGCAGGAAACTGTACCCACATCTGATGAAATTCAGTCCATAACATTTTTCAGTATTATTAATTTAGGGTTAAATAACTTCAAATGAGTAACTCATTTTAAGATATTAAATGTAGTATTTCATGTATTTAAAGTATTTTAAAGAATACTTTAATAAAATAATAGACTGGACAAGGATTGACTCAGTACTCTTATGGTCTAGTAAACATACAAACGTACAAGGATGCAATACCAATATCAGATAAAACTATATCTGAATTTTATCAAAATAATATTTCTTTTTGTTAGAACCACCGACACTGAACAATGAAAGCTCTGTGATAGGAATAATTTGTATCCCCCATTAGCTACAAAACCAAATCTACAATACAGAAAAAAGACAGTAGTAGCAAAATAAAACGCTTTTCACAGAAAAACAAAAGGAAAAAGTTCCTAAAAATGTGGTCACTGAGAGAGAGAGAGAGAGAGAGACAGAGACAGAGAGAGAGAGAAAAAAAAATCTGGAAAAAAAGCTGTTCTGACTGATATATCAGAAAGATTGTTTCAGTTGGTTTAATGATATTTACAGGGATGAAGCCGAAACGGATGCCTTTGACATTTGATTGGAGCCTTAAGGACCGGTTACATACTAGAGGTAACTATTCAGACACTTGAAAAGAGTCTCAGAGCAAGAACCGGTTGAGGAGGAGGAGGAGAAGAATCAAGGAAGAGAAGTATAGAGAGAGCTAGTGTGAAGGAGGCTTTGTTGGAGCCCCTGTCTCTACTAGCATCTCAGAATGCTGGTCTCTTGTGGTCCTACGGTGTTGCTCTGTGTGGCTAAAGACATGTAACAGGAAGCCAGGGGTAAACGGGCATTTCACTGTTCCTCCAGCCAAGAAGGTTTGTCAGCCCCTGGTGGTTTGAGTTTAATGTTGAACTGCTTGAGGGTCTGTTCCAGCTGTTGCTGGTTTCCAGCAAAGTAGGCAGAGATGGCATTATGGAACAGCAGAAGTTGCTTGTGCATCACTTTGACCTGTGAGAGAGATACACAAATCATGTCAAGAGACAATAAATAGATTACAGGCTACTTGAGTGATTTCAAGAGGAAGTTATGCGGGTGGTCGGGCACCTTGTTTTCTTCCAGGAACTTGATCTTGATGCTGACATCACTGCGGAGACGTTCATATTTGTCCTTGTGGATCTGGTACAGCTGCTGAGCATCCTCGATACGAGCCATAGTAACAGCGTCCCGTGGGCCCGTGTTCAACTCTTCCAGATCTGCCCTGTATGCATCAAACTCGAGCCTATAGGAGATCAGAAAACACCACATAAAATTATTTTTTATACAATGTGATGCCCAAAGTTGAAAGTTATTTATGATGAAATCTGACATTAAAGGTAGCTAGTACTGCATCAGATAAAAGCACAAAGCATCAAAGGTTTCTCAAAGATCTTAACATGTACCACACAAAATAAATAACTGTGATAAGAGGATATGCTACTCATTTTTCTCTTTTCAGTCTAAAGACTGAGTAAGAGGACCAGTCATTGTCAATGCCTCACACCGAGTTCATTCAATACCATCTTGTCTGCTATATCCGATACTAAACCAGACAACTGTAACGTATAATGACCCTCTCAAACGTCCAGTAGCATCACAGGCTAATTAACCTAAAACACAATTCAAGTGCTTGAATTTCCAGCCCTGACAGAAAGTAGGGCCCAGTGCCTCTTCATATTGCAGACAAGTGGAACACTTCAAGCACCTTGTAAAAAAAAAAACTAAAAACTAATTTGTAAAACTAATGAAGGCCACTATACTAAAGGCTACAGAGCTGGAGTAGCTTTTACCTGGCATTCTCATACATCTTGATAGTCATCAATGTGTCTTCCATTGTTTTGTTCACCAGTGTGTTGATGCTGGACACAAAGAAGTTGATGGCACCGAGCAGAGTCTCTCCATTCTTGCACAACAACTTCTGTGTTTCTGCATTATATCCGAACTCATCCTGTGCATGAATAATACCACAAAACTAAACTTTGAATTTAAATATAAAGCTGAAATCAAAATATAAATATTAGATGAAAAAATGAAAATTAGAAATATTGCCTTGGCAGCTAAATGGAATAAAATTATTTGAAGTACTAAAATGATTAAAACTAAAACTAAAATAAATTTAGACAGAAAAATAAAAATTAAAAGGAAAACTGAAAATATTAAAATAAAAGCCCATTCAAAATATTACTAAATAAATGCTATAATAGTATATAAATAATACTAAAATAACACTCAGCTGTACATGATAACAATCAGCTTTCATGTTTAAGTAGTTTTAGACAATCCATCCAGCAATGTTAGAGACATTCTTTACTGATGTTGTGTATAAATAACAAAACACAAATGCTAAAGTAAACCCAAAAACAATTGTGGCCTTTTAGCGCTTGGTGACATAGTCTTCCCCGTCTGTAAGCATTAGTTATTTTTAACACTGACAGTTTGAATTATACATTCCGCAACAGCATGAAATACATGAGTATGTTTACAGCAGTCCCATAATTATGCATGGCAATCACAACAAATGTCATAAATCTTAAGTGGGCCACGCTGCCTCACCCGAAGTTCTGGAGACTTCTGACTGAGGTCGGCAAAAGTGTCTCCGAGGGCGTGCTGCGTCTGCACCATGCTGTAAAAGTGGTTGGTTAGCGCTCGAGCCAAATGCAGCATGTTCTCATACTTCCGTTTGGTTTCCCGCAGAACCTCGATCTGAGCCTCCAGTTCCAAATCCACAGTACGTGTGCCACGGCCAAACCTCTCAGAGATCATCTGTTTGGTGCACTAAAAGAGAGACGGATAACAAATACAAATATATAGTTCAGTCATGAAACTCTAGATGACACATTCTGATGGGGTGTTAACGTAACTGATGATATTCAGAGAGTTAAACGACTTGGCACAAGCTGATTGGTTCATGCTCCGTATGCAGCAAATGAGCTTACTGCCTTGCATTTATATGGCTGGCTGGCATTCACTTGAGATTCCTGCAGCGCGCTTTTAGAGTTCTCTGAAACCCTCCACCTTCCCCAGCTCCACCTGTATAGATCTGCTACGGGGTTATTTTATATGCTATTTGTGCAGCAGCAGTATGTCTTAAATACTCATGGCACCGTATCACCATATGCATTGGCAGTAGCAAGTTCCTGTACTTGCTTGCAGCAGCAGCAATAATCTACAACTACAGCAATAACCAACAGCAGCAGCAATTCAGCAGCAGCGTAGCAGATCTGTTCCGCCAAGACCAAATATATTAACATTGTCATATCCATCACCATGCTAAAATGTTCAGAGAGTTGTTATGATTGAAATGGCTTTAGAATAGGAGTGGTTAACAGCACATGACAACTAATCACAAAAGACAAACAGTTAATTGACAAACCTTGTATGTGTTCAGGCCCCATTTCTTCACGATGTCAAATTTCTCCACAGCAACACCTCTTGTGGCCTCTTCTGCTGTCATGGAGGAATTGCTACTGCCGTGATGCATGTTGGACCCTGATACACAGAACATACTTACAGTAAGTTTCAAATTACATATACACTGTACAACTGTCTATACTTCCACATTATTTACACATCATTTGCAGATATTGTTGGTATAACTGCATCAGAGACAGCTCTGAAAGTGCATCAGCTATATGTGAAACAGATGAGATGAGAGTAAATAAATTAAAGTGTTTTACTGAGTAGGGGGAATGTGTTGCCAAAGAGCGCTTAAATGATCCAGCGCTCTTTGGAATACCTGGGATACAGGGGATGTCTTCTGATTGGTGGGCTATTCGGCAGGCAGCAATCTGGCTTGGGGCAATGCTAACACCCCTAGACTTCATTCGCCAGGGATTGCAGGCGATGTTGGGGGTATACAGTATGATGGGGAACAGGGAGTAGGTGGTAGATATGCAAGAAGTTTTACAATTATTTAGGCAATTGGGAAAATGATTGTTACAATGGAATGGGTTGTACCATATGAGTGAAGTGTGTAATGTCAGCATGTATGTGTGTGCGAATGTGAAGGAAGAGCAGGAGGATGGAGGGAGGGGAAAGGGAAAAAGGGAGAGAGAGAAGGTGATAATGTAATGAGATGAAATGAAAACAGGAAAGCATACAACATTTGTTAAATCGGCCGCCTTATGACAAACAGAGTGAGACAATGTACAGTTCACTTAACATCACATGACTTATTTTAAACCCCAATATGTCTGGTAATTTATTTTTAACTACAAGTATTCATTTACACAGAAAGAAAGTGTGACTAGAAGTATCAGAAAAAGCATTGTCTCAGTTTGTGTAGTATGTGTCTCAGAAGTATTGTCTGAAAAAATAAAAGGATTTACCCCAAACATATTTTACACAGCCATTTTGCAGCAGATTTTTCTAAACATTTCCTCTGCAAAGTCAGCAAGATTAAAGCCAGATTAAAGTTTAAACTGATTTTGAAAGGAAAATGACAAAAGAATCCTCATTACAAAATTCCTGCAAGTGAAAAAAGCAACCTTAACCCTGGCAGAAAGAAGAGAAAGAGAAAATGTAGCCCAGTCCAAACTGCTAAGAGAGAAAAGAAAAGCCAGGCGATTACATTTATTCCTGTAGTACAGCATCCCATACTCTGTCTGGGAAAGACAAAAACAGTTTTGAAAAGGACTATAATTCAAGGCACCATGGGAAGGTGGAAAACAAGAAAGAAGAGAGATGCGTTACGAATGAATGACCTTGCCCTTCATTTGGAATGCGTCTGTTGCCCAAAAAGTCAGTGTTAAGACGGACCGCAGGGCCTGAGAAAGGGTAAAAGAGACAGAAGGTCCTCACTGAATCAGAAGTGAATAAATTAAAGGGGCAAGGATGGTCACCTTACAATCACAAATCCTGTCCAGAACAGAAGTGGTTTTGTTAGCCACATATAACTAAATTAAAATAAAATCAAAAGCAGTCAGTTTTGGCTGGGTTACTTTGCAGAAGTTAGCCTCATTTTCCATTGCAGAGGAAATTTATTTAAAACAAAAAAACAAAAAGCTGAAGCTCACTTGTCTCTTCAGATCTGTGGCCTTTTTCACTCTGGTTAATGTCAAACTTTAAAGCCATTAAGCATGACTCAATGAATACCTATACACATAATGACCAATGCCTCTGGAGGCCCTGGGGTCTCTTCTGGATTGCACCATAGGAAAGAAAGGAGTGGAAAACCCATGGTGGAAATTATGCAAACCATATTGTACAATTCCAAGTGTATCTAGAAAAAATTAATGTATGTATTTGCTTTAGAAAGACAAATGTCATCAAAGTCATTCCAAACATGGTAAATATCACTAATAACAAAACTCCAATTTTGATTGGGGTCAAGTGAATCTAAAACTAGCCTAATTATACACAGATTTCTTTGCCCAGTCCATTATCAGTTGCAGTAGCAACTGGGTTTTAGAAGAACATAATTTTACCTTTGATGGAACTGGTCGGAATGATGCCTTCTTTTGTACCTCCATAACCACCTGATACAATGCTGGTCTCATTTAGGTTGGGCCCAGACACCATGACCTGCTGTAAGTCCTACAGAAATGTAAAAAAAAAAAAAAAAACGAAGAGGAAGAGATCTTAAGACCGTAATATTATAACCTAGGCATTCTTTTTCATGAAATGAGCCAATCCTGTAACTTCTACAAACACAAACATTGGCATAAGTTGTAAAATTTTAGAAAGAACATTTTAGGGTTAGAATCACACTAGACCCAGAATTATTAAGAATCATGTGCCTGTGAATCACATAAAAAATGTCATTTAATTTCCTGTGAAAACAAACCCTCTGAAAAATCCATGTGTTTCCTTGATGTAGTAAAAGCTTACAAGGCATTTGCAGCACAAAGAAACAGTCTGTTATCTGAAACAAGTCACATTAGTGACTATAAAAACTCTCAACAACCCACACCAGTGTGTTACATGTTATCTGAGACGATAAACTAAGAAAAAGCTCTCACAATAAACAACAACATCTGTAAACATTATTGCTGATAAAACAGGGGTCTTTAATGGGAGTTCTGCAAATCCGCAATGGTTTGATCAGCTGTTTTTTAATGTGTTAAATATATAATTAATTCAACTCTGACTAAAGTTAAATAACAACGTTTCGTTAAACATATCATTATACATTTAAATATGGCAGAAAAAAAAGTCAAATTAGAATGTAATGTACAAGTATATGACTATGTCTATCAATAACGATTATTTAAATGGATTTCCAATGCAAGCTTCATAAACCATGACCTGAAAAGACTGAGACCCTTGATGTAAAAAAAAAAAAAAAAAAAGATTCAGTCATTGTACTGTATGCAATACCCCCTTTATAACAAAACAAAATTAATTGTAAAGGTTTATAAAAATTTCGTTGAACATACAGAGTTAATAATTACTAAAAGGTAGCTACCCATGGGTTAATACCACAGAGAGACAAAACAGGATGTTTTTCAAAACAAACAAATAAAATATGTATCATTTGGATTTGTATCTGACCTCAAACACTGAATAACAGGGAGTGATACAGGCCAAAAAATAATGCATGTGATTTGAAAAACATCCCATCCATTGTGACCAGGTTATGGGGAGAACTACAATTGTTATATGCTGGAAAGACATATACGTGCAGACATACGCGCACACACACACACACACTCTGCCACCCTTCCCAGTGTTCCTTCTCACCCTGAGGCCTGTGGGACTCCCTACCTTCTCTCTTAAGCTCCACTGAATCTTTGCAGCCTGCACAGACATCGGGGAAGAACATGACAACAAAAAGACAAAAAGAATGATAAACAAACCAAAAATGAAGCACAATGTAAAACAAAATCAGACTTGAAAACAGCGATGATGAAGTAAACCATCAAACACAATGGAATCCATATTTTGCGGCCAATTAGCACCTGTTAATACAATAAAGACAGGTTTCCAGGCTTGACAATAAAATAAAAAATGCATGGAGTTACACTATTCTGTATAATTTCAGCCCGTCATTGGACTGTATGCAATACCCCCTTTATAACAAAACAAAATTAATTGTAAAGGTTTATAAAAATTTCGTTGAACATACAGAGTTAATAATTACTAAAAGGTAGCTACCCATGGGTTAATACCACAGAGAGACAAAACAGGATGTTTTTCAAAACAAACAAATAAAATATGTATCATTTGGATTTGTATCTGACCTCAAACACTGAATAACAGGGAGTGATACAGGACAAAAAATAATGCATGTGATTTGAAAAACATCCCATCCATTGTGACCAGGTTATGGGGAGAACTACAATTGTTATATGCTGGAAAGACATATACGTGCAGACATACGCGCACACACACACACACACTCTGCCACCCTTCCCAGTGTTCCTTCTCACCCTGAGGCCTGTGGGACTCCCTACCTTCTCTCTTAAGCTCCACTGAATCTTTGCAGCCTGCACAGACATCGGGGAAGAACATGACAACAAAAAGACAAAAAGAATGATAAACAAACCAAAAATGAAGCACAATGTAAAACAAAATCAGACTTGAAAACAGCGATGATGAAGTAAACCATCAAACACAATGGAATCCATATTTTGCGGCCAATTAGCACCTGTTAATACAATAAAGACAGGTTTCCAGGCTTGACAATAAAATAAAAAATGCATGGAGTTACACTATTCTGTATAATTTCAGCCCTAATTAAGTAATGAATAAGCCCTCTTTATTAATCATGAGTCATAAATTGGGTTGCTATCAGATCCCCGTCAATCCAAACATCAGTGAACAAAGGTATGATTAAAAAAAGAAAACACTGATGCCACTCTTTCTCTCTCTGGGGAAAGAAAGACAAGAACATTTAGAAAGTCTGTTGTCACATTCTGGCTCAATGCTCCTGATCTATTTAAAGACACAGTGTAACGCCAAAGTACCATCTGCCTTCAGCTGAGCCATTATTGCAACTGTGAACATGATCAGCCACAGTCATCCTAGAATGAGCTTTTAAAAATGGACATAACATGAAAATGTTAGGGGGAAAAAATTAAAAACAAACTAAAACAAAGAACCTTAACTTCCTTATAAGAACGATTCAACGTCCTAGCAAATATTACTACTTGTCTGTTTGCCTAACATGTCTTCTCCCGGATCCAGTGGCCTCGGTTTAGTTGTCTCACAGAGGTGTGTCTTGTGACAACATTACCACTTGACCTTTTCTTTACAATGGTTTCAACAATACAGAGATTTGAACACTTTGTGCTTGGCTGAATTAGCTTTCTACTTCTTAAAAGCCTAAGACAAGTAAGACACATTAGATTTACACTGAAGTATCGCCACAAGCCATGTTTATGAAATGAATGATTACTTATAAAGTGCCTGACAACCTTATTTTTAACGGATTTAAAGTCTTCAAAAAAAAGCTGGACAATCATAAACTGCAATGTTTGCACCACCTGCTACCTTAAGATCTTTTCTCATGGCTGATATTGTGAAACCTGCAACAAAACTAAACCAACTGGGCAGACAGCTATATTTTAGACTATGAAAACCTAACTCTAGCTATGAAAACCACACCTCAACCATGCACATTTTGACACTTTGAAACTTTGTTGATTTGATACGACTTCAACGGCCTCAACCAATAGGGTGAGTTCAGGTAAACTGCATCTGAATTTACCTGAATCACCATGTATCGCTCACCTGCTCCAGGCTGTCATCTTCTGCCAGATTCCTAGAGTCCCCATTACTGTTAATAGGAATCTCCATAGTGGCTGCTTTACTCATCAAACTGTCCGCCATACTGGAGTGTTACTGAAAGAGAGAGTGAGATAAGGAAAAAGATGAGAAAATAAAACAGAGCTCTTCAATATATTACAAAAGGTTGTTTGTGACATTTCGGAATAATATATTCATAAATTCACAGCTGATAATTAACAATGCAGACCACCAGACCTCACTTCAGACAACAAATGCTAGATTATAACAGGCTCACAAGGTCGAAGTGAATGATAAACAAGGCCTGCTGTCATTCTACTTAACATATCATTTTGCGAAAACACATTGTATTTTGGGGGAAAATATCCTTTTAATTGTAAAATCTATAAGGCCTTCTATATTCCACATACGTTTGCCGGAAGCTGTAGATGGAAAAGAGTTTACTCAGGAATGTACTGCTGAAACGTACTTATCAGATCTGACAGAGCCCAACCCAGTCATTACCACGAAAGGAACTGCCATGGAGTTCAAGGACTAGATCATTCACTTCCAACTAATTAACTCGGTTAAAAACCCCTTCAAGTTTCAAGGTATTTCCATCGATACTTGCTTTGGTTACTCCTTCAGAGTCCATTCCCACACCTGCGGGAGGGGCTTCACAGCAATGAGTGAGCAACTTCTCAAGCAGGCTTTCATTGTTAGCTCTCATAAAGCTCTCAGGCTCAGCCTCCTCAGTGGGCAGAGGAAACTATAGGAATGCTGGGAGCTATGTAACAATCATGTGACTCATGCAAGTTCGTCTAAGCTTAAGCTTTAGACAAGCGCTCAGAGAGGGAGGCTCGGTGCTCAAAGGGCCGATCTGAGCGGAGGCATCATAGTCTGCCTTCACAGAAGAGCCATTTAATTCTCCTGAGTGCTAGAGCATGCAATTTAGGCAGGATAAAAGCTAATGGTTCAGGTCTTATCTGTAAACCACAGGAATGGAAAACTGGCATTAATAAATTTGCACTCAGTGAGCAGCAGTGGTGATGGCGGTGAGCCAGTGCAAGTGCTCCTTTACAATAATGATGGAATGCAGGGGATAGGACCATGGTCATGGGATGTGGGCTGATGTGACCTTATTGAAGGCATTAAAATAAGCACCATTTACTTAGCGTAACGAAACTGTGGCAAAGTCCTTATGCCAGAAAGCAATGTTTCAATTTGTGGCTTGCAGTATCACCTTTGATTTACCAGCTACCTGTCGATGTGAATGACATTCTTTTTTTACTTATGAATACTTCGAACTATCATCACCTACAGAAAGATGCTGTGAGGATGACACTCACAATCCACTGTAGAAATGCTATTGTTCAGAAGGAAGGACATCTGGCATCAATTTAGATGACATTTTAGCAACCTGTTGTCATATACAGTATGCAAACCCTCCAGAATAGCTCATCTGGAAACATGCACGGGTGGCTGGACAGATTTTATTTCCAACTAAAGTGTAATTATGTTGCTCTTAGGGCTGCCACTGACGATAATTTTTATTTCGATTAATCTATCGACTAATTTGTCGATTAATCTAAACGATTAATTTCCCACCAAAAAAATCAACAATTTTACTTAAGAATATTTTATTAAACCAAATGAAATCCAAATTTCTAAGAAATCCTTTTTTTAAAGCAAAAGTAAAGTGCAACAGAGTGCAAGAAGCAAGTGTCCATCTCATAGTCCAAATCACTGAAATCAAAGTTCAGTATTATAGTGTAAGAATGACAACATATCCATGTGTTATAGTCTACTAATAATAAAATTATAATAAAAAAACACTTTTTAAAGGAGTATTTACCAAAAATGTAAATGAATGTATGATTCCTGTGGAACTACTGTGAACGGAGCCGCTGTGTGACGCACGTACTTAACCTACACGTATGTAAATAATTAAAGCGCATATACTGTATTAGAACGGCATTGCATATAATTAATTAAATCGTAGCGTTTGTGAATTCACAATTATGCTTAATTATGATTTTTAAATGGGTTTAATATATCATGCAGCCTTGGGAAACAGTCTAATCATGTGTTTTATGGATTCTCGTCCATGACATGCGCCACTTCCGGTATTTTGCCGGTTAGTCGACGCGAGCAAAATTAAGTCGAGGATTTGTACAAATCGAATAGTCGAATAAAATCGACGAAACGCAACAGCCCTAAAGGCTTGTACATTTTACATACAATATACATTTTCCTCACAAACAACGAAACAATTGTATTTCTATTTAGTCAACTGTTGGCAATGACTTTTATCACCAGAGGCGTCATGCCCATTCAAAGTGAGGGGCACGTGCCCCCTCAGATTTCTGAGCCAAGTGGATTTTGAATGCAGCTTCCAAAATAAAATAGCCGATTAATATTTTCTATATTTAATACAATCACACCGGCGTGATTAGAACGTTCAGTGCGTCATATCATCAGCTGTTAAATTCAAATCTGTGTTGGCTGGCTGGCAATTCTCTTGTCAGAAACAACAAAGTGCAAATGTGTGAACGAATCTGTAAGATATTAATTTCATAGTGTAATATTAACTTCAGTGATTTTAATGCGAGTTTTTGAGAGTGCTTGAACTAGACTGTCAGTGAAAATGTTCTTTGATAATGTAAATGTTCTTTGCTCTCTTTCTGTACAATTAAAGTGTTATGATTAGTAGCCTAACTTGCAATGTTTAAATTCACATTAAATATAAACTCAGTCATATTAAAATATGTTATGGCATGACACCCATATCTGTTAATTAAGTAAACAGACAGGTTTTTATGCATATGAATAGATTACATTATTAGGTTACTTTGACCATCATGCATAGATCAACATAATCTATAAAGGTGAGAATCAAGATATTTCATGATATAGCCTAGTTAATGCGTTTGGGGATGTTTCGAATAAAAAGGAAAATATAAATAAAACATAAGTGCTGTTGTGGCTG